TATATGCAAATTAGGTTAAATCACCATCACTAATACCTTCTTTTTTCATCACTTTATTTTTTTACTTTTAAATTTGTTTTCCTCTTCTATAAAAATAAGTAAGTTAATATTACACTTTAAAAAATAGCCACAATCTTAGATTTTAATTACATGGAGTCACATTTACGATAAGTCACTAATTAATACAAGATACCAACATTTTCACAATAGCTCACCTAATCAATCCTGCTGGATTGTTAGGTAAGGAGTTGAGGGGTGCTAACAGGCCAAGGGGCCTGTTAGCACCCCTCGGAACTTTTTCGAAGTTACGCTAAAGTCAATAAATACTCAATACTATTTTAATTTAGTAAACAATGAACTTTAACAATTGAATAAATTTTATACCTAGATATTTAAAAGGAATGATCAGATGAGAACTTCGTCTTTCTCCCTCACAAAATATAAATACAAAACACAAAAAATATAAATTATATAAAAAATTATATATATATATATCACTTTAAAGTATGTTACGCTTGATTACTTTGATGAATAAATATAAGTCCTCCGAGTATGAACAAGCCCAGACTAACTAACAAAATACAGCAACAAAACGTCAACAAGGCGTTAAAAGACACGCAAACAAGCATACAATTGTACGTCGGTTACTAGGAAATGCGGTTATTTTGACATGTATACAAGTATTCCTATAAACCGTATTAAATTTTACAAATAGAGTAACAATAGTTATAGTGTGACATTAAAATTGCGCATGTGGCTGAATTTAAAGGACGTCCGTTTTACCTGTTAAAAATGAACATACAACGGGTCCAGATTACCCTTCATTTTATTTCCGTTCACTTGTAATTGTCAAAAAATAAAAAATAAAAATACTGCAGCCATTTCCGACTGAACATCACAACAAGTTAGTAAAATTAACTTACAGGGCCAAGGCTTCATCGAGTGATTAAAACACAACGACGAAAATGCTTATCTCATGTTAATACAATTACGCTCCTCAAGAAAAACAAAAATTATATGCTTCTTTACGTAGACGTTATCGAAAATAAAAAAAAAACATTAATGTCTTGTTAGAGCCTTAAGGCTATAAGCCAAGAAATACCAACTCGTTTATAAATTAAACTTTCTTCCGCGTTTCCCATAATTTCAATGTTAATTTAAAATAAATATTAACTTAAAAATTATTAACATAAAAAAATATTTTGATAAACCTGTGTGTTTTTAATAAGATTGACAATAAATAATTTAATGTAATTTTTATAAAGAATCTCACACTTGTTCTAAAATTGCTGTACAAAATATTAACACCATTACTGTAGTATAGTAATGGTACTAAATTGTAAATAAATTGTAGAGAGTACCGATGCTACATTTGAAAAAACTAATACATAAAAAATTGATTAAGACGTTCTTTTAGGCTACCATCTAAATAAGCTACAGATGAATAATATTAACTTAAATATAATAGAAATTGTACCGAGCGTTTGATTTGATTGTACTTCATGCAATATCTTTTAAAGTATAAATCATATCATAATTTTTTCTTTTAAGAAATTAAAAATATTCCATGTTCTATTATAATTATAAAAAAATGGTTTCATCTACCTCTCATCCCTTTAAAATAATATTAAATTAAGATTTTAAATAGAAACACGTGTTTAACTAGTGTAAATATAATAAAATTATATAACTAAACAATGACCGGTCGTCAACAACTTTTAAACTAGTACTTAAGTAGTTTTTAACACTTTACTATAATAATTGGAGGTGAAACGTGGATCTGATTAACGACACACAGGAGGTTTGAGCTATAAAACAAAACCAACAAGCATCGCAAAGATACAAACAAATGACCAAAAACACATCAAGATAAAGTCATCAAGAGTCAAAACAGCTCAAGAAAAAACACCAACTTAACCAAAAAGAACACACCAACAGCCAACACAAAGGAACACGGAAGGAACGTTATATGTAAGTTCTTTTCAAAAAACTCAAGTTAATACAACTTAATAGGGCCTATTTTTTCTTTAATTATAAAATATGTGATACAATTAATTTTAAAAAGTAAAATTAAAATATATTAATGTATTATAGATATTGCATAAGGCATAATAAATCATCTCGTATAAAACTATTCAGGATTCAAGTTTTTATTTTAATTGAAATACATTTTTTTAACTAGTCAAATAGTGTTACTTGTATTTTTTATAATTCATTTTAATTGTATAGTTTGACAATAAAAGACAATAAAACAGAAAATAATAAATAATAAAATTTCAATCCGTAGTAGTCGTATTAGATTAAAAATGTGATTTTTTTAATGTTAATTTTACTTGCGAGCGTTATGTTTTTTTTAAGTCTTTTAATTATCGACCAATGATAACACACAAATGTAATGTTAATTATCATGTAGTGTTCATAGAAAATTTTTTTTCGTTTCCAATTGGTAAATATTACTTTATGTGGCGATTAATTTTAAATGTAAAAATAAACGTTATACTTAGAAAAATGATAAAAATAGCCTTTTATAATGATTGGTATAATATGTATAAATTTTTATTTTATTACATGTCTTAACTTGATTAACTGTAATTATTTTTTAAAATATAATTAATAATAAAAATTCATAGGTTCTAAACGCATTATAGTGTTCTAAAGAATACTAACAACTATGTAATTTTTTTGTATCCAACAAGGTTTTTAATTTTATTGATTTATTTTTTTATAGGAATGTAAATTAATTAATTTCAAAATGTAAAACTTGATCGAATGACATCAAATTCTCATAAAAAAAAAATTATCATAATACTTTAAATAGTCAATGGGTAATGAGAAAAACATTTTTTTTAAGTCAAATTTTTGTATAAAATCAATTATTTAAAAAATGTTCAAATCATGGCTAAATAATTAATAGCAATAAACAATTATAACATATTTGAAATCAGCATCAATAAACTTACTGGAATAAAAAAAATTCATAAACATTTCATGATCAAAATTTTGTTACTGTGTGTTATAAAAAATATTAATTTCATTGATTTTATAAATGAAAATAAATATACCGTTAAGGTAATCCAGAGTGTTTATTGTAAGTATTATTATAAATCAGTAAAATCAAAAATATACGAATGATCATAACAAAATATAATGATTAAAATTTTAGACTTGATACAAGAAATATCAGACTTGGGTTAATAAAGGTGGTACTCGTTCAACAACAGAAATTTTACCAAAGATGGATTGATATAACATTTCATTAAAAGATACCTTTTTTAACGATGGTTAAAACTATTATATTACTAAAATATAGTTATCTTATCATGGTCAACTATCAAAACGTTACAAACGATAAGATATACCACTTAGTTTCAAATCTTATGCAATACTGACTAAATTCCAAAGTCATTGAAATAAGATTTAATAGTAATTAATGATCACACCTATAACATGATTTAATAATAACAACGCTCTATTAATTGAACGTTTATTGAGAAAAATTGACTGAAGAACGTTAATCATATTTATCTTACCGTATTAACAGATGTAGCCGCCAACAAATTCTCCTACTATTCGAAAACAAAAGTTTTTATTTTGTTTTTCAAATAATCTAAACAACCATTTTAGTGCGATTGTCTTGGCGAAAATTGCGACGGTTGATGACAATTTTCAGACAAATACTTAATGAGTTACAGACATATCAACAATTATAAACGATAAGTCGAGTAGAACGCGTAATTATTTTTATTTATTGCGTTCAACCGGTCCAGTTCAACGGAACTAACGATTTTTGAACGATCGTTTATAATAACGAATATATCAACGACATCATTTGCATAGTGACAAATGTAGAAAATAAATAATAACAGCAATCGTTTTTGAAAACAAATGGGGACGGCAAACGAAAAGTGAAAGACGAATGCACCTCGTGGAAATATGAAAACGGTGTTGGTCGATTTCAAAAACATAAAAATTGACATGTAAATTCATTTATGTCTATCGCTCATTTAATGTCAACATAAGCAGAATGTTAATACAATAAAAGAAACACGTGCCATACTACATTTGACCACCGATTTTTATTTCAATATTTTTTTTTACACAACAGGTTGACGGTGCGCTTATATTTGCAAAAGGACACATTAGGGTTATTAGAGGATAGTCGGCTATGGTACGGCAGAAAACAAAAAAGGAGGGAAGGCGAGGGGCGAGTGCTGTAGCCTTGAAACAGCGTCCTTGAGCACGTCAGATATTTGCCCTTGGACCACGACAAGACTACTACTACTACTACTACTACAACAACAACGATGACGACGCCGCCGCCGCCGCGTCCTCCCCGCAGTGGTCACCACCACACAACCAAAATCCCCTGCCGTTTTCTTTTCACTGCTCGTCACGGGCGCAGCGTTAAAAAACCCCCGTAGTTGAACAAACACCAATGATTAACACGCGGCATTACAATTGTTACATATTTACCAGTGCACGACAGCTGAACGTACCTTGTCAGACTGCGAGTCGTCTGCAACAAAAGTGACGATTGATGGTGGCGACGATAAATAAAAAATTTAAACAAGAAAAAATAAACGACACTGGAAGAGTCTAGAGGCTTTTAAAATGTTTTAATAATGTCCTAGGGGCGGTTGACTCGTTCGATGAAAAATTAAGTCATCACTTATCACAGCACAATTATCAAAACTAATAGCATGATGATCGATGTTTTCAATTAAATATTAAAGTAGTACTGTTCAAATAAATAGCGTGTCGTGCGCGAGAACGGGGGTGGTTAGAACAAAACGATTAAACAACACTCGTTCGATCGAATAGTATTCATAAAAAAAAAAAAAACGAGAAAAGTACGGGAACATGCGGCGAAAGTAGCAGACCAACCGATAACGTCACACTGTGGTCGTCGGCTCGTATCACGACACCGACCTGACAGTCCCCACTATTTTTTCGTCGATTAAAAATATTTCCATCATTATTATTATTTCTCTTCTCTCTCCGGTGCGGTCTCTAAACATTCTGTAATCGGTCATTGCTTTTTTTATTTAAGGAATCGCTACCATCGCTGCCGCCGTGTTTTCCCCAACATTTTGTTTTCATAACGTTTTGTCCCCAACGTTGTTATAATAGCGCGAGCTCGTTCTCACGCCGCACCGCCCACCGCAGATAAACAATCCCTCCCCGTGAACAAGTTGGATGCACACGGAGACGAATAAGAATTAAGCTCATTGTTTTTTACAGGCGAAACCATTCGATGTGACGACGCCGACGTGCATCTTTTGCAAGATTTACCATTTCGGAGACGAGTTGCGCCGCACGTTATTTCTCCAGAACAGTTCCCAGTACCGGTGCAAATAACTCGCGCGCATTCGAACAATAAGCAGCCATCGTAAAAATGTATGGCAAATCACCCGCAGTGTGCACCTCTCACAAACTACGTGTAATAACAACAACTGGCAGTCTATAAATAAATATTCCAGTGGTATCATAAGTTGTTTACATTCTTTCGAGTAGTACTTGAGTTTCACTAAAATACAAACACGACGATATTTTTACGTACCGATAAAAACTACATCATTGATTGTGTTATAAAAGTGCTTCGTTAACCATTGAGTAACTTCCGAATGTACTGTTCATGAAATGTTATCTCAAACAAAAAATTACTCAATCGTTAATACCTACATGTTGTGCGTGAGTGGTTTTTAAGTAGTTTTGGATCGGCTTAATATATATTTTCACATAAAAACGTTATCAAAGAAAATTTCCATCCAGTCGGACAAATCGTAACTACACTTAAAAATAGTCGATACATTTTAATAATAGTTTTCAAGATTATGTACAATCGTACTTAATAGCAATAATGTATCAGTGATAAAAGTAACAAATATTTCGAAGAAAGTGGCTGAACATTTTTTTATTTTGTCATTTTTCTCAGTTTTCTCAGTTCGTCATGCGATGTAATTGAGTGTCCTATCGCGATTTACTAATTTTACTATGTGAACTAATATTAAAATTAATAAGCCATGGTGGCATATCTTGTATAATAAAGTCAAGTAATTAACTATTTTTAACAAAAATGAAAGGTTAAAATATTGTGTTAAACCACGTTTATTTTTGGCATAATAAAATTTTCCAAAATATTACAATTATGTTTATCTATAGAAACTTCATGTCCTGGAAATAATCACGTGTTAATGCTACGACTACATTTGAACTGAGGTTTGAGGTAAAAACTATAAGTTTCATTATTTTAATTACTTTTCGTGGGTTGCGGCAATATAACGAAAAACTTAAATCATTTTTTTTTTTTAATAATACCAAAGAATACCATATCAAAGCCTAGTTGTCAACATTTTGTGATTAGATTTTTGTTTTTCATAAAAAAAAACTTCCACTGACTATTGGGTAAGATGTCACAAAGTTTATTTTCATTTGTAAATTAAAATTGGTAAACAATTAGTAGAAATAAATTGCCACGTGATGGCCAAGTGTTTTTGAAGGTATCTGTGCAGTTTTATCACTCTTTTGATAATATTAGAGTTAAATGTAAGAAAAGTGACTCAACTAGCCCCAATCTAATAGGCACAAATCGACACAAAACGTTTAGGAGATCTTACTCAATGTCCCCCCTCCTTAATAATATTTCTGTATAAATTAACATCTAACTTTCATGATTTCTGGTGGAAGGCTGTGACGGAATTAAAGAGGGCTACGGACCCTATTTATTTGCGCCCAGTCTCCTCTAGTCGATTCTTATTGTTAGTAATTCATCTTAAACGTTCCCTTTGAACAATTGCGCCTGTGGTAAAGAGGATGGCATAATGCGTAATCCAGTAGAACTGAATTGAACCTCGACGCGTTTCGGACTGAGCTAAGTAGGCCGCCTAAAATAATTTCAATATAACCTTACACCAAATGATGATTTTTTTCGAAAACATTTTTTAACTGCAACCTCATAATCATGATAAATTTTACAAATGGCAACACAAATAATAATTTTATTTATATTTTAAAAAGAACTCAAATGAATGCCAAGTTGGAATAAATTAAAAAAGTTAAATTTGAAATCTCTGCTACTGCGTAGATTTCAAATATCACGAGAAATAAAACAATTGTTCGATTTGATAAATAAAATGTTTTTTTTTTTTTGAGAAAAAAATCATTTTAGTACAATACAATAATTTTGTATGTATTTATAGAGTGTTCAGTATGTAACGAAACGGGCATCGGTTCTTATCGTATGTAACAACTAACCAGTTTCCTCACTTACTGAACACTCTGTACACATACTAAATGTTAATTCAAAGTAATTAATTTTTTTATTGCCCAATAGCCTATGATTCTGGGTGTATTAAAAAAAAAACACAAATTGCAGTTAAATTATAGAGCAGTTGGGGATGGCGTTTAAGTGAATTGCATAACTATCTACCTTTTAATAGTTGTATTGCTACATAATTGTTTCTGAAATTCATACCAAGGCAACCTGGTAATCAATGTCAATGGGGTGGCTTTTAAAATTATAAACAAATTACAAAATATTCAACACTGTGGAGGGTTTTCTAAGAGGAAGGAGAGCACACCTAATATATGTAACGGTGGTGGTTGTGTTGATGAGTGTTTATTTCTCGGTCGTTTGACCTTGACTACAAATTCAATTCATCCTGTTATCGCTACCGTTTAACCTATACAATATACCAAGTACTCGAATATATTCCGTAAAATCGTATACTCTATTAGAAGACATTTGAATGTTACATAATTCTTCCACGTATAAATTTATATATTTTGTGGTAAATAAAAAAGAGTTATACAACCGTGGCGAGATTCATAATCAAAAGCAGTCTTTCCGAATTTTATCTACAAGGTCGGAAACAAAAAATTACAAATTATAATTCTATTTTAAAAACCTATTAAATTTTTGCATCAAGATCGCTTTTAGCATTTTAACCTCTAGTGGATAAATTTACAAATGTTTCATTCTAACCAAAAAAATATACCCAACGCGATCATTTTATTAATCCATCTGAATGTCTCACCTCCTTAGAAATATTTCTACATAAATTAACATGTAGTTTTTGAGAGGGCTGCGACAGAATTAAGAAAGTTAAGACCCCCTCAGATTGCTCGAGTCTTGTTTTAACACCGTAAATTAAATTCCTTATAGACAATCTGGCCCGGCTATAGAGCACAACATAAGAAGTGAACATCATCGATATTACTTGAAATTTAACTCTATCGCCAAAGTTAAGTGAATTTGTTAATTTGTTATGCATTACATAAATGACAAAATTTAAAACAATAATTTTGACAATTAAATGTGATACGGAGATATTTAATTATTCTATTCAGTTACAGAGTATTTTCGGGTTTTTGAACTTAAATTCAATTAATTATGATTTTTTTTTTATTCGATATCGCTTAAACAATTAAAATTCATGTGAATTAATTAAAATTATATATTCAGATATTAGAATTCAATTGTTCTAATAAATTTATTAGTTTTGAAATTTAATAAATCCTTATTTGTTCGATAATTAGACGAATTTTCCTTTGGCTGTAGTGTTATAAATAATCTGGTATTCTGAATTTATATCTTTAAAATTGCATTAATATTTTGAAACTCGTTACTGGGATATTAGAACGTCATAGGTTTAAACTAGGGATATGTATGGGTATTAAAATTAATAGTGAGTGTGTATATGTCCCTTTACCTCTACCAGTCGCAATATATAATAATACAAACTCAAAAGTAATAAGTCGTCCATGTGTTTATTTACAGGATGTTCCTAAACGGTTACTGTCACAGCACACATTGTTATTATGGATTTTACGGTGAAGGTTTATTACTAACGATCTTAAACTTACAATAATCATAAGTCATTTATATTACTAAGTCAAATTGAGTTTATAGTGTCGAAAGTTATGTAAATATTTAAGTGTAGTTTGTACTATATAAATCTTCTTATATAATCATTATGATAATCTTTCCCATTTTGACATAAATGATATTCCATCATTTAATATTAATGAATAGAATCTAATAAAATGTAATTATTGTAGTTTATTGAATTAAATGTCACTAAAAGGAATATAATACTGATAATATAATTTAAATAAAAAGCTTTAATTTCGCATGGCTCCTTTTCTTTATAATTTTATTTTATTTCAATGCCAAAATCAAAATGACCTTGTCTAGCAAGTTTAATTTGAAGAACCATTTGAATTATCATTTGGTATCAATATTTCCCTAGGGATAATTTATGTAAGAGTTTTAATGCACCCTGTAACTCTATTGTCGCGATGATAGGGCCGCCATTTAACAAATCTTTGTACACCGTCGATACGTTTGTATTAAGTTATAATAACCAATGATTGCCTATTGTGTAGCTTTCTTTGGGTTACCATCACACATGCTATAGAGCGATTTAAGTTCTTAAATTATTACGACGGATACGCTATTTTTTTTTCTGGGTCATTTATATGTTTTTATTTTGTACTGATCCAGATAATACTAAAGTATGTGATAATAATGCATAAAATTAATGGCTTTTGTTTATGCTATTGTGATTCAATATAACGCTGTTATTTTTCGATAAATTATCATAATTATTAAATGACAAACACTTAATTAAAGTAAATTTACTTACTTAATTTTTTTAAAATAAAATAAGCAAGTAAATTAAGTATTTGTCATTTAGTAATTATGATAAGTTAACAAAAATTAATAATAAACTCTTTAGCTAAAAAAATAATAAAATATAGGTCCCATTTATAAAATTCTTTAATTTCTAGATAACGACTAGTTTAGTTATACTTGTTCTATAATTTAACGATCAAATTTAGAGCACAAACTAATTGACAATATTTTGTGACTTAATATTCATACAGTCTGTGTTTAAAGTACCCACATATTTACTTGATACGAATATTTTATAAAATCTTATTAGATAACTGTTATTGCAATTACAAATTAATTGCTTATTAGTAATAAGTCAAAAATTATAAAAATAAACAATATCCTGGGCTAAATTTGTCTTTTTTGTCAAGAGTCAGTTAACAAGTTTAAGGAAGAGTTTTCCTTTCAAATTTTTATCACATAGGTTTAAAAACTAGGAGCCTAAGCCAATTATAAACATGAAGTTTTCAACGCTACCTTTTGTGGTAACAAGAAGAAAGCGGTTGAAGTGAGATAGATTCATCCAGTAAAAATGATTACATAGTGAAAATACATTTTATTTTTGATCTGAAGGGGGTAATAAAAATTTTTCTCATGTAAATCCCCCCAAAAAACAGAGGCCTGGGCATGTGATCGTGCCGACTCGCTACAGCTTTGCGGTGGCATTGAATCTAAGTCACAAAACGTGGCTACTTTTGATTACTTAAAAATATTACCCAGTGATATCAATGTAATACCTAGTAATGGCAATATTGACTTAAGTATCGATATTTAAATCACATATCGATGTTACAAAAAAAAAAAAAGTAAGTCGTAAATCAAAATATACATTTTAAAGTGTTCCAATTACAATGGTTTAGTACAATTAGCCATATCGTCAAAAAATACTGAAAAAAGTTATTTTTTTCTAAGTACTAAAAAATAATTTTTGTGTATGATACATGTCATAAAAAAATTGTGCACAATGATAATAATATATCAATAGGCGTGCTTACTAATCGGGAATAATATTCCCGATTGTATAAAAAATTACATCACTCCAAAAAAAGAAGTATTGTACAAAAAAAAAAGTAAAGTCAATTTTACAAACAGGAATATGCTATTCATTGTGGTTCTTGTCGTCTCTTGGCCAGTTCGCCCCTGCGAATGTAATCTAATCAAAATATTCTTTCTACGGTAACATATATATTTAAAAATCATATTTTGATTACATTTTGTCTTAACTATATCGATAGTGTTCAAGAAAAACTGTTCAAGTAAACTAAGTATAAACATTTTTAACATGGGCAATTTTTCTTCCGAGCACCACCAATATGTGTAAAATTTTTTGTTGTATAAATAATTGTCTAATACGAATTAAACAAAACATACTTGAATAGAGCCTTCCCCTTGATTAATGAAAATAAGTGCATGACTACATTTGAATTGTGAATATTACTTAGTAATTGTACTTATTTTAAATATTGTGCACTCTTATTATTTCTTATCTCTAGATGATGTAAGTGTAATAACGTACTGCATTATTACATTCGTTAAAATTAAATGTTATATTTACTATTAAATGTGTAGTAGTAATTTAATTTATTAACGAATTTTCAAATATAAACTTGATAAAAAAATGAAAAGCTAAAATAAAAATTTTAGAGAATTTTATATTTTACTTATTTGATAATTAATTTGACGCTAATATATTTATCTTTGATAAATACTTATCCGATACAGAATATGTTTTATCTAATACGATGAATATTGAATGATTTTATCATTATAAAAAAATCTATATATTTTACATATCGTTGCCATTCCTAGCAACACCGTATATAGTTTAATCAACTAACTAAATATAGTTTGTGATTTTTCTAATCTATCCTAAACCTTATAACTTCAATTTAAAACGAATCTGTCAAGTGTAAATCCTAAAGTCGTTACTTTACTGTATGTTTATTCTACATTTTTCATATACTTCTTTAATTTGCGAGTAAAACTAAAATTGATAAATTATATTGAATTTTTTATTTGATGCAATTTAATAACATTTTGTCATGAAGCGTTCAACATCATTCAATCTATCATCCGGTAAACTGTTGTATATTCTCCATTTTAAGTGTGAACTTTTCTTTCTTGTAGAAACTATTTTAATAACTTTTACATTATATCTGAGCTATTGTTTTATAATATTATATCATTTTTATTACGTTCATAAATGAAGCACTTCAGGTACTCTTTAAGTCTATCTAAGTATACTGCAAGTAGATAAAAAGATGATACATAATAAATATTAACATTTTTTTGGGTATAATAACTTTAAAGTATGATTTAAGTATAAATAACTTGAAGTATTGTTTACTATTGATATATAAAATTAATGTATTAACTTAAATAAATTTATTTGATACTTCAGGATATTTCAAATATAATGATTTTTTTGTAAAAAAATTAATTTTAATCCAGAAAAATATAAGACTTTAATTTACATTTACAATACATTTCATTTAAACTACAATTTTTATTCATAATGTAATAATAGGTCTAGTCAATAATTTTCTTAAAAATATTTTTTAATAAAATCAAGATCATTTACTTTAGAATTGACACAGTTATAAAATTTGAAAGTTAAAATGAAGAATATTTTTATTTTACCAACTCTTTACATACAATTGTACCTACTAATATTACATATATTAAATTGAATTGTTATTTTTATATAGGCTCACCAAAATATAATGAAGAATATCTACATTACCAGACAGATAAATTCTGTATTTTACCTACAAATTTGATAGCGAGGTCTGTTAATTATTATGGATATTGTTATTAAATGTATGTGATTACCATATAAATTACAATTTTTCTATTATTATATATTTAAAATATTCATACTTGTAATATTAATTTAACTTAGCAAAAACAAATGAAAATATATGAAGGTTACCTACTGATATGATCAATTAGTAAATGACAAACAATCTCATAATCAGTCAATGGTAGATTTAGCTTCTTTAAATTGTATAGGTAATTAACATTATTGTTAACATTTTATTTTTAAAGATTTTAATATTTAATTTGTTATAGTTGTTGACATTTTTTCTGTATTAAGTAATAATAACTATATTCCAACTTTAAGTAGTCAATAAATAATAATTTTTTGTAAATAACTTTATCATTTTTTATTAGTTTAAATTTATTTACTATTAATCATAATTTTGGTTTTCTTAATGTTATTCATACAATTTGTAAAATTTTTATGTGCATAGATTATCTTTATAAAGAGGTAAACAAATAAAAGATAGTGCATTATTTATATCTTCTAAGATGGATGAATATTACATATTACTAATATCTTCAATTATTATTATTAGAATATAATCAATATTTTAAGATACAAAATAATGAGTAATTTCTTATTCTTAAACCAATTTTTGCATTTTTTATGAATCATTAATTAAATCAAAAAAATTTACTCTTAGCTGTTAAAAATGCTTATAGTTGAGTTTTTTTATAAGCTATATTTTATGTATTGAAAATATTTTTATAAGCTGTAAGTTATATTTGTAACTTACTTATATTAAGAAAATTATATTCTCAAAAAATTGATTGATTTTGAAAAGTAAAATAAATTAATATTATTGTGTTTTTCAAAAAAAAGCTTGATTTTTGTTGTTACAAAAACAAAATTTAGCATTCTAAAATAATTTGATACATCATTGGTAGTTTAACTTTGAGACAGGTATAAAATATTTTATTCTATATGAAAAAATTAAGACAGAATTTTTTATTTAAATTTGAAGAAAAAAAAGAATGATTAAAAAAAAATATTGAATATAAGTTTACAAATGAAGCAATGCAATACATAATAATATTTGTGTAGTTCCTTCAACTACCTATTTCACGTTAATATTCTAAATTACTTTGTGTATAATATAAAAAAATAAAAATTTATGCTTTATACTTTGTACATAATTTAATGTGTTACTATCATAATCTTATTAATTATCACTTGATTGTATCATCAATTATAATTTAAAAATGTACGTATGGTATAGTCAATATATATTTAACAGATTTACTGTATAATTATTAAATTATTTTATAGGGTGATTCTTTTGTCACTAGCCATTCAAAAATTCTCTTCATATAAAAATTTTGTTTTTGTTAGGTATATGTTTGTCCTTTATACCTTAAAAAGTGTGAAATTTATTTTTTAAAATAGCAACATAAATTGTTAATTAGCTTATAATAAAAATTATATAATTAATAAATGACTTTTCAATAGTAACTTTTGAATCAATATTTCAGATGTTGTTAAGATTTTTATATATAGATGAGAGGAGGAGTGTGGATAAAGTAATACTTCTATTCTCCCAACAGTTGTGACCCTGATTTAGAGATCCTTAGCAATAATATACAATTGAGTATCTAGAATTTATTGTAAGCAAGGGGCTCTTCATATTGTATTTAAGCCATGTAATTCTATTAGTTTCTTATTACATACGTGTTTAAGTTGGTCCTAGGAGTCTAGACCCTCTCTGAAATAATTCAAAATTATACTATAGCTATGAATTTAAAGTTGACAGTATAACAGGAAGATTAAACAATTTTTGTTTAGATGAACTGCCCCGAAATAAAATCTATATTGAGTACCTGTTTCTAGGATATTTAAGCCTGAACTCTTCTCGTAAATATGCACTGCATTGCGATATAGTTTAATGTCAAACTTGAGAAAAAAAACCTTTAATGGATCAAATATTTGATAACTAGTTCTTCATATTTCATATGATATTGCACGAAATTGATTATAAAATGTAAAATAACTAACAAAGTTGAAATAATAATCACACTGGAATTCATAATAAAAAAAGATTTTTTAACAAACAGCGTTGTATTTAGAAATTTGTAATCAGAGTATTTAGACTGAGTTCCCGCTCTAACTGTGCAGAAAATAGAGGAACCATTCAGAAAGTGTTTTATTATTATGAAGTAGAGCATCAGTGTGTTTTAAACATTTTACTCGGGGAAATATGATTTATTTTTCTAAAAATATTTTACTTATGACTTAAATAAATTATGTAAAAAAAAAGTAATAAACAAAAAAAAATTTTTAGGATTATACCATCATAAATATGTGCTCCATATAATATCGGTTGATATAAGTATAGGAAAGGTGATCACAACGTTCTGTCCTTAGAGTCAAGTAGAGTTCTAGTTAGACACTCTTGAAATTTTAAAGATGAAAAACAGCAGAATTTGAAAAAAAATCTTTAAATTTCTATAATTATCTATAATCATATATCATATCTATATCATATCATATATCATATCTATAATTATACATAATATTTATCATAAATAAGGCTAGAAATTTAAAAATCGCTTAATACAAGATCAATTTTTAACTGACAAAAAAACTGATCTGCCAAAAAGCATTTAGAAATCACATGTATTATTCATCACAAAGCTCTGCAGTACTCTATAGAATAGAAATTTGGGGAAACTCTTATTTCTTTATTCATATTTAAATGAATTCGTTTACCAAAGCCAATTGAAAATTTATTTATTAAAAACTTTCATGCTAGTTATCGTCATACGTCACTCAAGCAAAATTTGTAGTCACTGTTGTCGTAAATAGTTTGTGAAACAATAGTGATAATCCATACGATCATTGTTTTTTTTACGTATTATAGAACAGTGTTGTTTTGGGTGGTATACAACGTATACCTTTCAACATTTGTTTAATTAACGTAAACCATAGAGAAATAATAATTCTGTTCTATTAATACTGAAAGATATACGCTTACAAATCAGCGTATACCCTAAAATAAAAAAAATTTTTTACAAAAACACCTTTGTGTTAATTTAAAAATTATTGTGGTGTGACCGCGGTTAGTTATAGAGGATACAATTTTTATTGTGATTAAATACACACAACTAGGTTGTCACAAAATTAAAAATATGTAGGGTGATAAAAATTTTGTTTTTTTTAATTATTACTTTTTAAGTTCTAAATATTTAATATAAATATTTGTATTAAGTATTTATTATCTAGATCACTTGTAAACAAGTGTTTTTTAAATTTTTTAAACCAGGTGTGCGATTATTGACAATCTTGTAATTAACTATAACCTAAGATAAGAAATAAAATCTAGCACACATTGTTTAATTTTTTATATGTATTAAATAAAATTAGAAATTACTATGAAGCTATTTTAAAAATCAAATGTATAGCCTGTAATAATAACAGTAGTTGTCCATTTCTATACATTTTTCAAAAGAGTAAAAACAAAAGTTTAAATTTTTATCTCTTTCATCATAAAACAAAAATAGACACTATAATTTTAGTAATAATAATATATTTTTTATCGAATACTTGATATTACTGATATCAATATAGTATTGAGTAGTATTACAATACTTGATACTACTGCCAATGAGTTATCAAACCATAGAATGGAGTTCAAAAAAATGTATTACTACCATTCTTTCCATGTATCCTTCAAAATATAATTTAAAAATAAATGAAAAGGAAAACTTTATTTGGGATCTATTAAAGAAGTTTACTAAAGATGGGTATGATCAACCCTTAAATACACTAGAGGAATTTTTTAACTAAATTAAGTAAAATGTTGAGGTCATGTAGTAACAAATTAAACATTTTCTAGAGATCGGCGAAATTTTAAATGTTTTTTTCAACCGGAATTGTTTTTTTTTTAAACCAGACAGTGTGCTTTAAGATTAAATAAAGATAAATATCAGTATAAAAAAACCAAATGAACATAATTAAGAAAGTCTATAGACAATCCAACAGTTTATTGATTTATAAATGGTTGTCATAATTATTAAAAGTTTCTAATTGTAACTATACCTTAAAAGGTAAACCATGCATAATAGTATTTTTTACATATATCACATTAGTTATAGTGTACACATAATTATCTGAATTTGAATTTGTATTATTCATTTTTTTGTGTCTTAAATAGAAAAATCTTAAGTATTATTTTACAGCAATGTGTTGACAATTAAACAATCAAAACATTTAATTTAACTCTCTTTACACTTAATTTTACATACTACAAATTATTCATACCATATTAAAACGTATAAGATATGAAGGGCATTAACGAAAACATTTTTGAGTATTTATACATCATTAGGTATAACTCATAGTGTACATTTTTATTCTAGCTATGATAAAACATAAAGGTTATAAATTTTGGCTAACTGGAAATTTTAATATGTTCAAAACTATACTCAACAATATTTATAATTAAAGAAAATTAATTAAGAAGATTGATACTAAAAAAACTCTAATGATAAAAATCAATTTCCAGCACATTAATTACGATAATTTGAATTTAAATTGTATCTAATCTACCATTTGGGGTGTTAACCTATATTTTTAATTTAACCTTTGCGCTTATTTACAAGTAATCTTCATTTCATTTTCTTTACATTTACAAAATATTGAAGTATAATTATTATATATAATAATTTTTTGATTTTTCATCAAGATCTACATCAATGTAGAAAGAGGTATGTCATGCTAGCTTACTAAGTAAACTGGGCAACACAAATGTCACACATTAAAAATTCATAAAATAAATCCTAAATGGTTTACTTATGATTTTGTAAAATTTACTAAAATTTTGTTCTTTCATTCCTGAATTATACTATACTATAAGTTATACTTGTGACAAATTCTGATACTATTAAAATTGTAGTTTAAAAGAGCTTACCTCCTCTTACTTTGATATAGATGCCTCCAAAAACCAAGAAAAATTATTAGATAATAATAAAATAGGGAGTGGGAACTTAAATTAAATGGTCCCTTACAAAAATTTTATTGAAATAGCCCCTATGATTTTCGCAGTAAAAAATTCTTTAATATTTTAAACAATTAATTTAATAAAATAAAAATTTAAAGATATATTACAAAAAGTAGCATTACCACTGCGATAACAATTAGTTCGCTTACAAAAGGTTGTTTGTTGAAAAAAATTTAAATATATTTCATTGTATTTGGTCGGTGACTAATTAAATTAAGTGTCTAATAAGCCACTGTTATATTTAATACTTAAAATCAAGTGTTTCATTTCGTGATAAATATGTTCTAGACAAGCTGAGATGTATTAATCCATTAAAAAGACTGAGATTTTTGTAGAATTAACAGATGGTTAAACCAACTATTGTACAAATAATCAATTGTAATAAACATTATAACTATTAACGTTAGGGCCATTTGACATTTCTATTATATCACTTAAGTTAACTTATGATGCTCTAATGCTATACGTGATTTTTGTTAAGAGTAATAATTTATAATTATTATAAACCGTTATTCAATGTGTTGAAGTTATTACAGATAAAACAGAATTGTT